ATCACGAAAAAAACTACTAGATGGATTGCAATTAATTCTCCTGTTTTATTTCTTGGAAACAAAAAAATTTTGTGATAACAATATGTAATTAGATTTAAAAAGCAAAGGTATTATATGCGCTACGTTTTGAGTTTCCTTTCCATGCTATTTTAACTCTGCCTCAATCTAATATAACATGTATATTTGTTTCTGATATTTTTGATGTTTTATTCCTCTGCACATGAAATGCGTTGTGCGTTAAAATAAGCAAGTCTCACCTAATCAAGGGTATCAGCTATTTCTAATATAAACATGTCATATGAAATAGGTATACATTAAAGGTGTTCTAAACTCGCCAGTTTTCAGGGTTCCGTACCCAAAGGGTAAAACGGGACCCTATTACTAAGACTCCGCTGTCTGTCTGCCTACCCGTCCGTCCTTCACCAGGCTGTATCTCGTGTATCGTGATAGTTGAACAACAGAACAAAAAACAGAATAAAATAAAGAATATTTAATCGGGCTCCTATACAACATACATGATTTTTCTGCCGTTTTTATAGATAGTGGTACTGAACCCTTCGTGTGCGAGTCCGACTCGCACTTGGCCGGTTTTTTGATCCTACAAGAGCAATGATAGACAATCGATCGTTTCTTCTCAGAGACTTAAGTATCTTCGTAACCCCAAGACTCCGAAGTGGCAAATGACATAAACGCGTAGATGGAGAGTGTAGGACAATATCCGGTAGGGGCGACGCGTTCACTTCTAAGGAAATTCGCTTAGAAGCCCCATTTCGTATCTCCACTTTGCTCATACGGCCTCGTCACAGACAAGCAGACGCGTTCTATCAATACAATTCAATACACGAACAAATTACAGCTCAGTCGGTGACCGACAAGTGGATCAAATTTAATTTGCAAGATCTGATGACAAACGTCATTTTGATAACTCCGTGGCGCAGTTGTCAAGTTGGCTACGGCGTTTGTAGTCGTGGGTTCGTTTCCCGCACGGGAAAACTGTTTGCGACCCCGCATACAGTTGTTTTGCATCTGGCTGTTTGTCCGCGTGTTTATGCTTGTAAAACTTCCTTACAACACAGGATAATGTTATCCTAAAGTGAGGGATTTTTTTTTTTTAAATGAAAAGAAACGTCGGGACAGGTGAAGCTAAATAAAAGCTAGTATTCGTAAATTATAAACAGTTTAACTGTAGTAGGGCCACGAAACAGTGTTCGCTGTTGCACGAATGGGCAGGTCCGTAAGTATTTGAAGCAATGCTTGGCGCATCTATTGTTATATCCTTTCCAGCATACAAACAATTTCGAATATCGTTTTACAACGATAATTCGAACGAGAGATGTCGCCATTGCTTTTTTAGAAATTTAAATTGTTTATAGTGCTAATCTTTGCACTTAAGATTGAACATTAAAATATGTAAAATGTTAATGTTAATGTTCAATATTAAGTGCAAAGATTAGCACTATAAACAATTTAGACAATGAGATTTTCATCAGTATGCCAATCGGCCGTTCAGCTTTGTGGTTAAAGTCCGGGCGCGAACCCGGAAGGCGTGGGTTCGATTTCCGCAGGGGCAAGATACTTATTCTTATTCTTGTTCTTTATTGTACACAAAAAAAAATACAGTTACAAATAAAGGATTGCAAAAAAGACTGTACAAAGGCGAGCTTAACCCTAAACAGAGTTCTCTGCCAGCAAACCTTTCGTAATAATTAAAAAAAAAATAATCAAAGGAAAATAGGTTTAATAGGTACTTTTAATCCTGTTTTCTACAAATTTTGATTTCAGTCAAATCACTACATAGTATGTCTGTCCCTATATACGCTTAGATCTTTAAAACTACGCAACGGATCTTTATGCGGTTTTCTTTAATAGATAGAGTGATTCAAGAGGAAATTTTATATTTATAATTAATGCATAACATAATAGAGAAACACTATTTTCAAAGGTTTCTATTGCGATGTAAAAAAACATTCAGCATTGCACGCGTGCGAAGCCGGGGCGGGTAGTAGATAAAAAGATGTGGCGGCGCTAGTAGATAAAAACTTGTCAGAATATTTTTCGGAGCGCGTCGGATACAAACCCAACGATAGATTCAAATACAAATATCTCCTGTAGATAATACAGAGTACAAATAAATTCGGCCATTGACAGCACTACATTTGAGTTCATTAACATAAAGATGGATTGTTTACATTTTATGTAAACAACGGCGCCTGAATGGGAGCACGTGGGTCGCGTGACGTCACTGCTTTATCGGTCACGATTGAGCAAAAAAGTTTATAAAAACCTCATCCAACGTCTCTTTAATCAGCCGTTATTTATCGCTATTTAAAATTAGCATCTGTTGTGATTTTTTTGTTTTCGATTTACAAAATAATGCTACTAATATATGAACGACTGCACGTTGAATAATCGATTTTGTCTCTTTTGCTGGAAATTGCTTTAGCAAATGTAAATAATATTGACGTTCGCGTAATACAATTAATATAAATGTTAAACGATAGAGAACAATCACTAATGAATTAAACAACTAGCTGAATTAGCCGGTCGCTTATGGTTTACGGGAAAAAAAAGGAAATAGTGTGATTTTCACTATAGAAATGTAAAAGTAAAAATTGCACATGTAAAGAAGAAAAAAGAAAGAAATCCGCCATTTGCTTGTTGTCAATATGTCAATTCTGCTAAACTAAAAAAAAATACAAACAATCGATACGAGTGTGACGTCGCCCGCTTCCTATATCTATCATGTTGGCAGAACTGTGTTGAGTCTTTCTGGGTGAAAATAACAATTTAATGCAACTGATGTTTTATATGTGTATGCGTGTGTATCAGACTGTTATTTAGTGGCTTTAATTATGACATATGACACTTTAATTACGCCCAATGAATGGTGCATAGATTTCGAAACGTGATCAGCAGGCGAACCACTTGATATTATTCCCCCTCCCATTACCTAAAACATTGGGTTGCAGATGATGCCAACCATAAAAACATAGGCCCAGGTTACCTCACTCACGAGACAAAATAAATTGATGACTCCGTGGCGCAGTTGCCAAGGTATCGGCTTCGGCGTCGGGGGTCGTGGGTTCGATTCCCGCACGGGACAACTATTTGTGCGACCCACAGATAGTTGTTTCGCATCTGGGTGTTTGTCCGCGTGTAATTTATGTTTGTAAAACGTCCTTACAACAAAGGATAATGTTATCCTAAAGTAAGGGCGATGTAAAAAAAAATTAAATTTCCAGTTCGCGCCAATCTCGTGAGGCCTTGTTACCGGACTAGCCCATTAGTGCATCACCAGTCTGCTGCTGAGCCCTACCACAGGTAAAGCTTGGGCTGCTCCGTAATCATCACGACAACAAACACTAAGAACATTGTTAATACCTATAACATTTGAGGATTGCCCTCGATTTCTTTGGAATGCCATCATCAGATCCAGGTTTCGTTTAGCATGGTACCACTGTTGGGATATCTCCTCGCCAACAAACAAAGAATCATCAAAATCGGTTCATAAACGAGAAAGTTATCCGCGAACACACGTAAAAAAAAATATATACGGTCGATGAATTGAGTAATCGCCTTTTTTTTAAGTCGGTTAAAAATATAAATCCTCCACGGAAGGAAATACGCTGCACTCGGTCCGTCTTAAGAATTTCCCATTTGATCGCATCACTCTGCAGATGGCGGGAATATCGATGAGAGATCGGCGGTGGGGGCGCGGCTCGGTTCATCGGCGGGCGACGCAGCGGGGGGGGGGGGGGGGGGGGGGGGGGCGGGGGCAACGGGGGGCGCCCCAAGACGACTTATTAGATAACTTTGTTGTCGGTAATTACGGCAAAAATGAGTTCACCGCCGACGTATCCGCCGAATCTCGCCCACCGCGGTGCTATTAAGGATAAAGAGCGAGAGAGGTGGCTATTTAGTTTTATTTCAGTGACTGGTGACAAACTAAAACGTACAGAAAGAAGTAACAACACATGACACAACTTTAACCCCTTTAAAACTAAATACAACTTAATAGAATGTCTTTATAGCTACGGAACGTCCCCGTCTATTCGGGATGAAAAAAAATATCAGACCTAATCGCGATATTTCCAAAATGTATGTAAAAACAAAACATTGATTTATAAATTGTTAATTTTTTTTGCTCAGATATATAAATAAGAAAAAGGCGCGCGTAAGTAAGGCGAAAACTGTTACTTTTTCCATTGCAAGCCTTTGAAATGCGAGTCGTTAGGAATACAGAAATCGAATAGCACTAGATTTCAAACTGTCTCGCGCATAGTAATTAGATTTCGGACCATCGCCGCTTCCTGTCGCCGACCGATTTCCGGCGGAAGGGGCTCTTGCCGCTACTTCCTGATGCTGTTAGCGGGTCGAGCGTAGAAGGACTATCTGAAAGTTTTTATTTTTTTCGCCTTTATCGCGCGGATGACACTGGCTATAACGTAGAACTCCATTATGCTTTTTAAAAAGCGTGACGTCAGCTGCTACGACGTAACTTTGCACACTATTCTGATGGTCACTCATAGCAGACAGAATGTAATCACTTCGTTTACTTAGTCAGCACGTTGACTCAGTAACACTGATTAAAACTACAAATAACACTTTACACAAGTTTATTCCTATCACAAAGTCAGTATCACTTAAATAGACCAATTCAACGACTGAAACAGTAATGTCCTGTTCATGTGGTTCCTCAGGTGAATAAAGTCAATTGATCAACTGTTTTATCAAACTTAATTTAGTCCTTTACCAAAATGAGTAAGCAATTGATTCAATTGACGAAATTTTTTGTGCGTGTTCAAGTGGATTCAAGAATGGTTTACATTCGCAATTCGGTCTAATACAAAATGTATTTATAATATTTTTATTTTTATTTATAAATCTTCAGACAGGACAACGTCTGTCGGGTCAGCTAGTGGTGAGGTAAAGTTTGATTCGTTCCAGTGGCTGTAACGGAGTGAGACGGGCACAAACCCCAGCGATGGCCTGAACCACCAATGATGGCGCAGCCGCCCTACGCACTGCCCTGGTGCCTTCACTACCAGCACAGGTGATTTTGTGTGAGAAGATGACAAACGAGCTGGCGGTTCACCTGATGTCAAGTGAAAACCGCCGCCCATGGACATATGCAACACCCGTAGGGCTGCAGATGTGTTGCCACCTTTTAATAAAGTGCGCCCAGGTTACCTCACTCACCAGAAGAAACGCAGAAGTATAACACTTCCACTTCACGCCGGTCTTCTGTGAGGTAGCGGTACTTTCCCGGACAGGCTTCCCATTGCTATTGCAACCAAGCCATTACACAACTCTACCACAGTAAAACCAGTTTTTTTTTATACCAAACTGGCTTGCGCTTGACTGCCATACCACATTTAGATAAGTGGTGATGCAACCGTTGATGGTGAGCGCGCCGGCTCAGTAAAGCCTAATCACCCTCTTGAAGATGCGTATATTATAATCGGACGGAAAGACTGACGCTGGCAGGTTAATGATATATAGTAATGTCAGAAATAGAAACGATAACTGATTTTTAAAAAGAACTTATTGACCAGTAGGCCAGACTCCATAGAAATTGAACTTTAATTCTAAATAACCGACACAATCGTTATTAATTCGAGTAGAGCTTCAGCACGCTACGACGGCTGACGATAAACTGAACGAACATGATGAGCCCTGCTCGTTTTATAGCCCGTTGCAGTGTTGCCATTCGATATTTCGATTTATTTCTAACAGTAAAGTAAAGTGACAGCCTATGCATGTCAGGCCACTGCTGGGCAATGGCCTCCTCTGTACAGAGGTTAGTAGGGCACAGTCCCACCTAACCACGCGGTCCCACTGCGATTTGGCGGACTTCACACATATCTTCGAAAGTTATTATTTCGAAAATATGCTGGTTTCCTCGCGATGTTTCCCTTCGCGGCTGAGCGCGTGGTAATTCGGCACTTAAAATTGACAATTTCATTGGTGCCGGCACCGGGGATCGAACTCAGGTTGCTCTAATACTCTATATATTGAATTAAAAGCAAGTGCCCGGATAATGATCTATCATGGCTTGTCTTTTTTATACATATAATTCTTCAGTGCGTGTGTATGTCACTGAACTTCTCCTAAATGGCTTGACCGATGTTTAGTGAAATTTCAGGTGGATTCGAGAATGGTTTGGATTCTCAAAGTTATTCAAAAAAAGTTTGTAATTTTCGAATATAAGACGTGTGTCCAAGACAAGTCTGTCCGATCTGCTAGTATAATATAGTATAGATAGATAATAATAACTTTTAAGATTTATAATCATCTTGTATGTCACGAGCAGTGATTTTAATAGAGAACTATTGTGTCAAGAGAGGGCGGGGTGGGGGGTCGCCGTGATCCCGGGCCCCCCTACTCTCCCACCAGCGTGCCCCAGCATCCCCTCTACCACGGACACTATGAGCCAGCGCAGACGCATTTGCCGTGAGTATGCCATCCCACTCTCTCTTCAATCTTTTTTTTTTTAATTGAAAACTTTAGACGTGTTGAGCACTTTTTGGGTGAACAAAAATCAATCGAATCGAAACCACGACCCCCGACGCCGCAGCCAACACCTTGGCAACTGTGCCACGGAGTCATCAATAAAATAAATAATGTTATTACCTACGAAAGTTGCCCATAGGCCCACATCAACAGGGTTCCGGTTATCTCACCTACGAGACAGAATGCAAAAGCTCAAATACTGCTATTTCCCCGGACTTTTGTTTCCTTTTCCAGCTGCAAGAGCGATGACGAAGAAATCCGGTCAGAGTTTCGAGAGCATTACGCGATCAGGTAAATGACTTCAGACCAGCAGTTTATTTGATAAAAGAACATGTATTTATCTAATATTTAATCTAACTAAAATTACATATTATCTAATGAACCTAATCCTCGCGGCATGGTGCCCAGAACGCTAGCTGCATTTCCTCGCTGAATAGTTATGCTTAACCTTTGAGCGAGAAAAGAACCAGCTCTCTTGTCACTAGCCACGGCCTTAATAATGTTTATTTGCCATGTTGTTTCTTGTTGCTCAATGAATATCGTAGTTCAAAAGTTTCTGTGCACTTTTTTTCATCATTGAAGCCTTTTTGTGGCCCTTCCAAGAGACAACACTGGCAAAAAATTGACTTTTAATTCAAATATCAGAGAAGGGAGCAAGAAATAATAGTTTACGTAAAACAAAAAAAAATGCAAGCAATGAGTCCATGTGAGTTCACGTGGTAATCACTTACCACAATGGGCGACCTCTTTAATATGAATGAGAGCTTGGACACGAAGGTGCTTTAGGTTATCCAATAAAAGTAGGATGGTGACAGGTGTGGTGAGGCGGGTGAAGGCGGTGGTGGGGAGGCGGAGACACGAGCGCCAGCGCCCTCTGCCGGGGCGCCCTGGGGCGACGGCATGGGTGCTGCGCCCGTTTGTCCTTACACATTCGTAGGCCCACGCGTAGCTCTACCGTAGCGGAACTCAACACTAGTTAACTGATTCTATCCTTGTCAAACTTCTACCATCTTTTATCACTTGACTGTGGCAGGGCCGCGCAACAGCTGTTGCACGAATGGGCAGGTCCGTCCGGGTAAGTACCACGAACATACAGAAGACCGGCATAAAGTGGAAGTGTCACTCGTGTGTTCGTCTGGTGAGTGAGGTAGCCGGGGCCAACTTTATTAAAAGGTGGCAACGCCATTGGTGGCGGTTATTACTTAACATCAGGTAACGGCGTGAAGTGAATGTATCATATTGTATACGTATAGTGCGTGAGAGAACCTTGACTCAATCTTATAAAAATTGGCAACGAATCTCATTGCATTAACCTGAAGTAAATGACCTATTCGCTTGCCAAGTGATTTATGGGTAGATCCACCTTACAAAGAGTCTATTAATAGCCTTGCAATTTTAATCATAATTCACATCTTAAGTGCTATATATAAGTACACGGTGGAGCAGTTGCTAAGCTTTTGATTTCGGTGGGGTCGTGGGTTCGATTCCCACACGGGTCAATTATGTGCCACACAGATAACTGTTCCGGATCTGAGTGTTATCTTGTTACGATACCAGAGCCGCGCGTCTGTAGACGTAGAGATATCCGGGGTATTTAATGATGCAAAATTGTGTCACAAACTGAGGGTAAACGTGTACAATTGTGTCACAAACTGGGGGCACATGTGTATAAGTGTGTCACAAACTGAGGGTACAAGTGTGTCCCGGCCACCCCTAGGGGAGGGCCTTGGTTGAGTGTGAACGACATGTGACAAGCTCGCCCGCGCCGGCAGTTAGCAGCTCGCGGTGCGGCGCCGCCTCGCCGACCCAATACGCCACCTCTGCCCACGGTGAGTGATAACAACCACGGTCCTATTAAGCAAAAATGGTCTAGTGTCTGAAATATCCGCTTCATATTTAAAACTGGCGTTGATAACCTATCGGCGTTGGGGGTCATGAAGTTCGACTCAACTGATGTAGCCTCCGAGCCGTTTCAGGCTAAACAATACTCGAGGGGACGGTGCGCCCCTTGAGACAATACCCGGGTCGTGGGGATCGATTCCCCGATACCCGTACCTGCACATGTCCGACCTGTCCGAACTGATGTTGCAAATGTCCATCGTTTGCCTCCTTTTTCCATAAAAAAAAAACAAATACTTTGTGTGGGATATTAGTGTTTGTTTCCCAGGGAGAATTGACGTCAGGCAGGCGGCTGGTCATAAAAAATAGCCGAAACCGCTTACAGCATGATTCACGTGTAGTGCCGACCCCGCCTAGATGGGATCAGGGCAGGACAGTGATGATTATTTACAAATTGACAGTCCAAATTAAAAATTTAAATCAGCAGAAACAAGTCAACTAATACACTCAACTATTGAAATGCAATTCTAACCTTCCTGATCAAGCTGTATACTGTATTCTCAATTTGGCGAACTTAATGTTAAAATATGTAGAAAAAGTACGAAAAGATTGTCGCCGCTGTGGGAATCGAACCCACGTCTTCGGCATTCGCTGCCTGACGCTTTAACCACTAATCTAAACGGCTGATTGCCACACCGACGAAAATCTTAACGTCTTTCTGAAAAAAAAGAGAAAGAGGCACTAAAAGAAAAAAATGAGAGAGAAACAGAAGATTTTTAGTGTGATAGGGCCAAGCAGTACATAGCAGGCCATAGTACTTCGGACGAACCTGCCTATTATTGCAAACACGGAAACTATTACGTGGTCCTATCAGAGAGATGTCTGGATTATATACAACGACAACTCCGTGGCGCAGTTGCCAAGGTACTGGCTTCAGCACCGGAGGTGGTGAGCTCGATTCCAACACACACATAATAATTTTGGATCTGGGTGTTTGTCCACTTGAAATTTGTGTGTAAAAAGTCCGTACTACACAGGATGATATTATCCTACGGTAAGGGAGCAATGTTTTCTAGAAAGAAACAGAGATTGTCGGGATAGACGGTAAGGAAGCAATGTTTTCTAAAAAGAAAAATAAAGGAATTTTCACATCTGCTCACGATTGATCAGAGATTGGGTCAAGTTACTGCAGTGGTTTGCAGGTGGCAGTAGCACTGGTGGTAGCGGAGGCGGGCGGCGGGGCGCGTTGCAGTTGTGGCAGTTTCTAGTGACACTGCTGGCAGAGGGCGCGCGCTGCGTGGCGTGGACTGGCCGCGGCCTCGAGTTCAAGCTACACGAGCCCGAGGAGGTGGGTGCGAAGGGTTGAGGAGTGGACTCACAATTGATGATAATTCCGATCATTTAACGCCATGGTAATGATGTAATAGTAAAATTCGAAGGCGGAGAAGTGTACAATTGACGTTGGGATTCAAAAGTGGGACTAAAAGAAGGACTAATGGCACTAATACACTCCGAACAGTCTGGATTGCGTCTCCGTGACACTTTCTGAATATAACAGTGTATTAGTAGCCGACTATAATAGAATTGAAACACTTTAAGTTATATTACTGATACAGTTGAGGAAAATTACAAGTAAAATATATGAATGACTAGCCGCTGCCCGCGACTACGTCTGCGTAAAATAGGCTGAAGGAGTAACAGTCAGACAGAAAGACAGATACACATATAATATGTAAATAAATTATAGGCTGTCTTATTATGATGTATAATCTATATTATTATAAAGTTTCATTAAAATCCATTCAGCAGTATTTGCGTGAAAGAGTAACAAACATGCATACAAACTTTCGCCTTTATAATATTAGTAAGGAAGTAAGTATATTATAAAGAAACATCCCATAATGTCATTTGGTAGAACTGCTCATATAACCAATCACCATCTTTTAATACAAGAAAAAAACAAAATATTAACATTCTGCACTCCTCTATACAGGGAGGCTTTTCTAAGTGTATCCATTTTTTTATTAAATTCTAGACATAAAGAATGTTTTATAAAAATGGTAAATATTTAAAAATAATTAATTTAATAAATTTATTTAAACTTATCTCAAAAAATGCGTGATTTATGGGCAACTCCTTTATCTTACGCGCGATCATTCATAATCAACACGCACACAAGTTCGTTTCAAAAGTATACGACGCATTTATGAATGACTACCGCAGTGTCAACAAGTTCTGTTTTTAGGGAATGGAATGGCAATTTAAAAAAAAAAAAATCTTTGTTTTTAATTCAATAAACGACTATACTACCGAGTCTGAACCTCCTGTGTGAATTTGGGCACCTTTAGAAAAACCATCCTGTATAAACTGTGGGAAATTTCGTACTCCTCTGTTCACTTTTTTTGCTTCACGTATTAATCTTTAATAATGCTAATGTTTATTATAATTTATTGGTTATTTCTTGTCAAAATAAAATATTAATATTTTTTTGAATTATGGTATGCTCAATTAACATAATGTCAATATACCAACCTAATTTTCAAATACCTAATTTTCTCTGTACCACCCCAAGGCGGACTGGGAGATAATGCTTTTAGCATAAAGTCCGCCATTGTACTATTTATGCATAAAGGGTACATAAATAAATAATTGTCAAAGTATGTACTTCGTCTAAAAAATCACCCTGTGTAATTGTATGTGACAGATGATATAGAAGGTATAATACGGAAAGCGTTAGGCAGTGTAATAGAATTACACCAATTGGTGTAGATATTACATCGTATCTGTATATAACATTATTGTGCCTTTTTATGTTATTCTATTCACGATGGTAAATACAGAGAGGACGTTAAGCGACCAGGTTGTCACCAGGTGGCGAGGCGTTGGGGCGCGCAGAAGAACAGGCCCGCCATGAACTACGACAAGCTGTCGCGCTCGCTACGCTACTATTACGAGAAGGGAATCATGCAGAAGGTTGCCGGTGAGCAAAGAAGTGGCTGGCAGTTCGGTGTACATGTATCATGTCTGTCAAATCATTGGACTTTCATGATAAAAGGCTATAAAAGATTCTGCTTGTCAATGTGTTGATGTAAACACGTTGTTGAGTGATTTTCGATTTAAACCTTTATCCCTTTGAGTCAAATACCTAAAATTGTTTGTTTTGTGAGTGTTTGGTGGTGGTTTCTGTGGTATTGGTGTTTTTAAGTTTACGTTCCACCCCAATTCCCCATGAGAGAATTGGGCGAAGACAAACCACCGGATTGGGGAGGAGGTCACCCTCCCGATAATAAGATGGATACTAGTGACTCCATCGTCACATCTCACCCATATATTAATATTAACCGTAAGCGACCGGCAGTAAATATAGAAACTTCCGACAAAAAAAAAGTGGTTCCACCCTCGACCTCTTATCAATCAATATACTCCAAAAAAAGGTTACGAAAGTGACCCCAAACTAGGTTACAGCGACTATGACAAATCTCCATTCATTGTATATGTCACCAAATCTGAACCTGACTTGTTATCTGGCCTCCCAATCAGGCTACTTAAATTTGCACAACTTATACACAAAAACAAAGTGCCGGGTATAGCAGAAGGAGGCATAAATTCACTGGGGAGAAACAAGTTTTCAATTGAATTTAAATCTCACTCAGAGGCTAATAAATTCCTGTCAAATGATTTTCTACCTACAAATAATGTTATTGCTGTTATTCCAAGATTCCATATTACTCGCATGGGAGTGGTCAAAAGTATTGCTACTGACTGGACACTTGAAGAATTGTTAGAGAACATTAAGACGCCGACTTAATACAAAACTAAGAACAGATGATAAAATTACCTGGGTTCCTTCTACCACTGTAGTTCTAACATTTTTGGGCCAAACTCTTCCTGAAAGAGTATACTGCTATCAATCATCCCTTCCAGTCTCCACATATCAACTACCTACTATTCAATGCAGAAACTGTTGTAGATTTGGACACATAGGGTCTCAGTGCAGGTCTAAACCAAGATGCTACCGCTGTGGGCAGAGTCACACTGGAGATAACTGTACTATCAGTGAAATCAATTCCTCTTGCATATTGTGCAATGGAAATCATAGGGCAACTGATTCTAAATGTCCTGAGCATTCTAGACAAAAGTCCATTAAAATTGTGATGTCCCAGGACAATATAAGTTATTCAGAAGCCGCTCTCAGGTTTCCCCCTTCCAGACGTCCCTATGCTGACATGGTCAGCTCTTCCCCTCAACATCATTATCCGATTCAAAAATCCGAACAATTTCAGTCATTTCAATTATCTCAGCAAACTACCTATCCCCTACTTTCTTCTTCACAATCTAATTCTCAGACCTCTTACTCCAAAACCCTGTCTAAATCTCCACGTCCCGTAACTTCTCTGGGCAAGACCTATGATGTCTCAGCCCACCAAAATATAATAAGCTCTCCTCAGTCATCACAACCTAATGGTTGTGCTTTATCCTCTCCCTTCATAGAGTCCACCCCAATGCTTACCCCCAATGACAACCTCATTGAACTTCTTACCTGCTCCCTAATAAACATTATATCCGAATTTTCAGATGCCTTACCGAACAATGTCATTACCCTACTTCAACAACTGCTCGAATGCTTAATTACTAAAAATGGCGACAATTCTTCAGTGGAATTGTAGAAGCATTCGCCACAAAAAACACGATCTTATTTCTTTAATTAACCGTTTTAAACCCATTGTCCTTGCTATCTCGGAGACTTGGTTGAGACCAAGATCCATCTTTAGGCTTCCAGGTTATTCGTGCCTTCGAGATGACAGGGATGATGGCAAGGCAGGTTGTGCCCATATACTTTCAAGATCCATCACCTTCTCACAAATCCATATTCCTAACCACAGTCCTGATCTTCACATAGACGCAATTAAATCTCAAAATATTTCTTACATTTCTTGTTACATCCCACACCCTAATAGCATTGTCATTACTGAATTAAGTAGTATTCTTTCCACTATCCCTGGCCCTCTTCTTGTTTCTGGAGACTTCAATTGCCACCATCATATGTGGGTGTCCCATCATGTAGACACTGCTTCTTCCTTCCTCTTAGATTTATTAGATGATAATAATCTCTGTATTTTAAATAATGGATCTGCAACACGAAGAACCCATCCTGGGCAGAACACCAATGCCCCTGATTTAACCCTTTCATCCCCTTCCCTAGTTAATTCTCTTTCTTGGTCTATTTTACCTAATTCTTATGGCAGTGATCATTTCCCCATCTTAATCCAATCTCTTCAAAATTCTCCCTCTCTTCCTACTTTGCCCCCTTTACAACGATTATTTTCTATTAATTTAGATTCTAAAATACTCCATCTCCCTCCTCTCAACTCATCTAATTTTTTGGCTTTATATAATGAATTTGTCTCATGTATGATTTCAGCAGCTGAAGAGTCTATACCGTTAAAAAATTCATTCCGTGTGCGCATCCCCTCTCCTCCTTGGTGGGATTCTGAGTGTACCGCTTCTATCAGAGCTAGGAAAAATGCTAAGAAAAAATATGCTTGCAATCTAAACATGGAGAACTACCTTGACTTTAAGAAAACCTGTGCTAAAACTAAAAGGTTTTTAGCTAAAAAGAAATCTGAAGGTTGGCGTTGGTTCTGTGAGTCCTTGTCTCCCTGTACTTCCATTTCTATTGTGTGGCAAAAAATTACCAATTTTCGGGGAGCTTTCATTGATCGTAATACCTCTTCCAATGATCCTTCTACTTGGTTAGATAATTTTGTAAACATACTAGCCCCTCCTTTTGTTCCTTTTTATGACTGCTTACCCATTCCCTACATCCCTTCTTCTGTACCTGATAGAATGAACGACCTTTTCTCCTATTCTGAGCTTTGTTGTGCTCTTGACAACCTCAAACATTCCTCTCCAGGTGTAGACGGTATTCCTTATTCTTTTATACTTAAATCTTCATGCTCTTCAAAATTATTTTTTCTCAATATTATTAATGAAATCTTTTCTTCTAGGTCAGTCCCAAATCCGTGGAAGACCCACATAGTTATTCCAATTTTAAAACCCAATAAGGATCCTAATAACCCTACATCCTATCGACCCATTGCCTTATCCTCTGTATTGACTAAAATCTTAGAACACCTTATAAAAAATAGACTTGAGTGGATTCTCGAAAACAGAGGTCTACTGTCAAGTAGCCAATACGGATTCAGGCGTGGCATGAGCACAATGGACAGTCTTAGCGTATTCACATCTGAAATTAGGCTTGCTTTCTCTCGCAATAAACATGTCATTGCAGTCTTCCTTGACATCTCCTCTGCCTATGATAATGTCCAGCTTCCAATACTCAGGCAGAAAATGCTTAAACTGAGTATCCCTGTGAGACTGGTTAATATAATCTTTAATTTATTCTCATGTCGCTCTATATGTGTTCGCTCTTCTGGCTGTATCCTTCCTCCACGTCTTGTCTGGAGAGGCCTTCCCCAGGGTTCAGTTCTAAGTCCCCTATTATATAATCTGTATACTTCCGACCTTGACACGACCGTTAACTCCTTCTATAAAATTCTCCAATATGCGGATGACATTGCCCTTTACACCACATGCTCCTTTCTTCCAGAAGGATGCTCACAATTAAACACTGCTTTACACTACTTAAATATTTGGCTTTCAGATCACAGTCTAAATTTATCCATTCCGAAATGTCACGCTGTTACTTTTACTCGAAAACGTCATATCCCCTCGTTAAGTCTCTTGGTAGAGGGTGAGCGTATCTTTTTTCAAGATTGGATAAAATTTTTGGGGGTAATCCTAGACTCAAAGATGTCTGGTACATACCACTTACAGTATGTACATAATAAGTGTGAAAAAAGTACAAACATACTAAGAGCTTTATCCGGAGTTCGTTGGGGCTCTCATCCTTTCTCCCAGAAATTACTATATAACGCAATTGTACGTAGTCATTTTGACTATGGTAGCTTCATACTGGAGCCATGTAGCAAGCTAGCTCTTAGAAAACTAGATAAAATACAATCCAAATGTCTACGTATAATTGCAGGCGCTATGAAATCTTCCCCTATAAATGTGTCCAAGTTGAGTGTGTTGAACCTCCTTTATTTCTCCGTAGACAATTTCTAGCTGACAGATTTTTCTCCAATGCTGTTCAGTATCCCTCTCATCCTGTATTAAAAACGTTACATCTCCTTTCCCGTTCCATCAATTCTTCCTCATATTGGTCCAACAAAACTCCCCCATTGCTGGTTAATAGCCTCAATGCGTATAAAAACCTGTCATCTCCTATCCTTCAATTAGAAAACCACCCTCTTTACACAACTAACTATGATGCTCTTATTTTCCAACCAAAAATCATTTTAAACCTAGGGTTAAATAAAAGTTCAATAGATGCCAAGACCCATTTTAAAACAATAATAAATAATGAATGGGAGGACTGGGTTCTGATATTCACAGATGCTTCCAAATCAGAGAATTCCCATGTAGGTGCCTCAGTCTTCATTCCAAAATATAATGTTGTTTTAAGCTTTAAATGTCCCATGGAATGCTCTGTTTTCACTGGCGAGTCAATAGCTATTTTGGAAGCCATTAAATATATAGATGCTAACCAAACCCACTTCAGTAAATCTTTGATATTAAGTGATTCATGTAGCTGTTTGGAAGACTTGAGGAAGCTCCCATTTCATAGTAAATTTAACTCAGTATATACCTTGAGAGCTAAAGAAATATTGTGTAGTTTGGAAAACGCCGGTGTCAAGATTGTGTTAGCGTGGAGCCCAGGTCACTTGGGTATCTGGGGGAACGAAGCCGCCGACTCTTATGCTAAACAAGCTGTTCAGATAGGTTACACTTGTCACTCAAGTATCCCCGCCCGTGACATACGCTCCTTGGCTAAGCCAGTCTAATGAAATCTTGGAATAATTTGTGGCAACGCTCTAAATTGATAAAAAGTAAATATTATGGTAATATTCAGCCAATTATTCCATCAAGACCTTGGTTCTTTAAATATAAATTATTAGATAGGATGTATACCTCTATGATCATACGTCTTCGATTAGGACATGTTTGCTCCCCAGTTTTTTTTGGCTAAACTCCATATACGCGACCACTCCATTTGCCTGTGTGGCCTGGCTGAGGGTACACTAGAACACCTATTTTTTTCTTGCCCAAACATTGTAACCCCTCTCTATGATATTCTCCCTCACAACTTTCCTAGGCCAGTTAATATCCCATTCCTTTTAACTCTTACTGAATCCCCTTTTATCAAAGTTTTATACAAATTCCTTCGTAGCAATAACATTAAGCTTTAACCCCTATTCCTCCACTCTTTTCCTCGGTTAATATTGTTTTTCTTTATCTCTTGTTTTAAATATTGTCCCAAAGTATCGTCCTTAACTACTTACTTTTTTAATTTATCATATTTGAAAAAATATATCTAAACTAACTTATTGTTTTATCCTCATTCAGGTAACTCAACCGGATACGTGTAATTGTCTACCTACTCTTTAAAAGTCAATATTACCGACTAATTATATTACTAACTCTTTGTTTTATTCAACCTTGACATTGGCAGAATCATCAAGTTATATATTGATGGAGCCATAAACCTAAAATTGGAATTGGAATTGGAAGGCTATAAAATATAAAAGATATAGGTACTATATGACGACTTCACAACCAACATTGATGTAGTGGATAGTAGATATGTTCCTTGCGTCAAAGAATGTGGCTTCGATCCCCACTACTAAGAATATTGTACGATGAACATAGTGTTTATCCATGTTTATAATATGTATTTATTTACAAATAATTATGTTTTATGTACGTTTGTCAGTTAGCCGCGATAGCTCAGTGTCCGGGCGCTCGCCTTTAATTCAATATACTGGAGCAACCTGAGTTCGATCCCCGGTGCCGGCACCGATGAAGTTTTTAACTTTAAGTGCTGACTTATCACGTGCTCCGCGGTGAAGGAAAACATCGTGAGGAAACCTGCATATTACTACGCTTAGAACAGCTTCCAATTCAAATTTTGCATTATCGTACTTAGCTTTAACTTTTTATTCAGGTGAAATCTTCAAACCTGTCTTCCATCATAAGAGCATCTTTCCTTTTCTCCCTGGGTCCATTGTTTGTAATCAAGACCCCTAACCCGGTTGCCCGGGAACCCGAAAACTAGCCGGGAATAATCCCGGCAAACGAGCTGGCGGTTCCGATGGCAAGCGTTCCATGTACCATCCGATGGCAAGCCAATTCAGATGCGTTGTTCAATAAAGTGGGCCCCGGCTACCTCAGTCGCCAGGCGAAACGCAGAAATGTTTTACGCTTCCAGTTCACGCCGTCCATGAGTTCGTGGTACTCAGCGGGCGGACGTGCCCATCCCACAGTAACATTTGCGAGTATGATTTTTAACTGTCGCCAAATGAGAAGTTCATTGAACTCCGCTAAATGGACTACACTACAGTGCTCTATTGATTAACTATCAGTCAAGGTGGTTAAACTTATGTTGCACTATTAAATCGGTCCTATTATCTGCAGGCGAGCGCTATGTCTACAAATTCGTGTGCGACCCTGAGGCGCTGTTCAGTATGGCGCGCGCCCCTCCGCCCGCGCCCGCCGCGCCCCCCGCGCCCTACCACGTGCTATCGCAGCTCTACGGCAGCGCCGCAGACCCGCGCCGCTACTACGCGCCCTACGACGCCTGAGCGAGTGTTACGGCGCCTTAGGGATACTCTGCGACCCCGTAGCTAATGCTACGAAGCCCAGCGCTACGAAGACAAACTGTTACCGGGCTGCTAAGTGCTACCGTTATAAGGGCTACGGTTTCGCTACGACTGGTTACGTTTTTAGAAGACAATTATGACTTTGTTTGTTTGTTGAAAATGAATTCTTAGTGTCATATGGACATGATGGTTAATCCGTTAAAATTAAATAAGCCTTCACGTCTCTGATTTCAAATAGGGTAGGCAGACTTAGTTAATCCCATTCACATAATAAGTTCTTTCTATTATTTTATTATATTTAAACAAAACAACAATCAGTAAAATAAAATACTCACCTTTCTAATGTAGAGTTGTTGCATAGACACATATCAAGGATAGAAACAGAATAAAACATAATATGATAAGACACAAATATTCGGAATAAACAAGATCATACTCGGCTTGTTTGAAAATTGAACCCATGACCCTCACGAGGCCTTTGCACCATCAAGTATCAAAAATTATAAGTTACCTACCACACCGTTCCAATGTAGATATATTGTGACATTGTCAATTGTAAATACGAAACTATTACTCATATCGCTCGGCGCATATCAAAGGCCAACTTAGGGTTGCCAACTATTTTTGAGAAAAATAACGTAAAACATTTTTCAAGTAGGGAAAAATAAAGTATTTGGAAGAAACAAAAGTAGTTTTCAAAATGTTGAAGAGTTTTTTTTTTGTACTTCTAGCACAAAATAGAATCGGAATAGAGTATTTTCACATACTTGATTGTTATGCAAAAGTATAAAGTAAGTTTGCCAAAATAAAGTAGAATACGTTATTATAAAGTATGGTTGACAACCCTAGGCTGACAATAGAAACTATTCAGGCTCAGACTATGGTTAACTTTCGCTTGAAGGGCAATGTTGCCACAATTTTAATAGATTAGTAAATGTGATATTTTCTCCAATAGAAAAACCTAAGAGTAGAAACCAAGAAGGACAGTTGGCAACAAAAATAACACGTGGTTATTAGACATTACATGTTTTTTTTATTATGTTTTTTTATGCGGTCTTTATCTACAAAGATACGGCAGCCCCATCGTAACTTATACAGGTCACAACAACTGACTAGAGATGCGTAATCGAAAATTGTGTGATTGATTCTGACGATAGAATAGAAGAAGAGGAGAGAAGAGAAGAATTGTATTTTCGACTGGTTCTTCTTGGCAGAGATAGTCCAAACACTTGCTCATTAATCTTTAGTTGTAGCATCCGTTTAATTAAACTGTAATGTTGTAAATTAATTAAATAAATATCTTTAAGATCATGACTATTACTGCAATGACCCCTAACCAGCTTTCATGCGACAGATAGAGATGGGCAGTCCCTTTCTCACGAAGCTTAACTATTTAATCTCTACAGGCAGTTAGTTTTCGGGCGCAAAATGAGGCTACGCAGAAAAACTAACCGTTTCTGAGATTCGAATACGCCTCCTTTTTCGCCAATCACGAGTTCTTTTTTAGGGTTACGTAAACAAAGGGTAAGACTGCGCGGTCTGTGATTTTTTTTGCCGTTGTTATAGATAATGGTACGGAACCATCAGCACGCGAGTCCCACTCACACTTGACCGGCTTTTTGATTTTATAAAAACAGTCAATCATTAAAACAGAAGTTAATAACCACAAACAATTAAGTGAAAACGATTTCAAACATTTTTTAAAAGCTACCTTAATGGAAAGGGCCTATTATAATGTCGAGGAATACATTGAAGACAAGGATGTGTGGAAATGACTCTTGCTCTGCACTTGCAAGACCCCTGGCTGCTGCTGATTTTATACTTATATAATTTTGTATACTTGTACAATTATAAAAAAACACGCCAAGTGCGAGTTCGACTAACACACGAAGGGTTCCGTACCATTATCTTTAAAAATGGCAAAAAAATCATGTGTGCCGTAAAGGGGCCCCACGTATTTTTTATTCTGTTTTTTAGTATTTGTTGTTATAGCGGTAACATAAATACATCATATGTGAAAATTTCAACTGTCTATTATCTCATGAGATACAGCGGGATGACAGACAGACAGCGGAGTCTCAGTAATAGGGTCCCGTTTTACCCTTTGGATACAAGAAACCAAAAGGAGAAAGCCAGACCGCAGAATTCCTTGCCAGTTCTCTAGTCATGTCTATTTTAGTGAACCGGTGGTAATTTTTTAGCGTTCAATATGGGGTTAAATTGAGCCTTCATTGAATAAAGAACATTTGATTTTGACTTTGAATATCACAGTTGGAACTGTACAGTATGGATTGCTCGATACAGCATGAAATCAGGGCTTGACCAGGGAAGAACCACACCCTTCACAAGACCACCGCAAAGTAGTACTAAACACTCTTTGAGCTAATGTCCATGGAATATGTTACTTACCATCGAAAAACAGCTTTTTGTCCACTATTTGCTAATCCTTACCTAATATTGTAAATGCCAAAGTTCCTATGGATGTTTGTTATCTTTCACGCAAAAACAACTCAATGGATTTTAATGATTTTAATGAAATTGTTTGTATGCTGGAAAGGATATAACAATGGATGCGCCAAGCATTACTTCAAATACTAAATAACAATGTAGAAAGAAGGCGTTAAGATTTTCGTCGCTGTGGCTATCAGGCGTTTAGCTCAGTGGCTAGAGCGTCAGGCCGCGAATGCCGAAGACCTGGGTTCGATTCCCACAGCGGCGACAATCTTTTCGTACTCTTTCTACATGTTTTAATGTTCAAAACATTTATATTCATCTCTTAAGACTAATACATTACAGTGGTGGCGCTTTTATGTATCTAGATCCATTCTTTTATTCGAAAGAGGTATCTAGGCGTAGGGACACGCAATCTTCACCGTTGCACGAATAGGTAGGTCTAAGCGAGAAGTTATACTTCTACGTTTCGTCTGGTGAGTGAGTTAACCAGAACCCACTCTATTAAAAGCTGGCGAGTCATCTCCAGCCCTATCGGTGTTGCAAATGTTAATGGGCGGTGGTTATCATTTAACAACAGGTGAACCGCCGGCCCGTTTGCCACCTTCTCACATAAAAAACCATTAAATAATTTTAATCAAGCATATTTTACACATTGCCTAACACCATTTCTATGACCACTTATCTAAATAAACATAACTGGTGTTACTTCGTACTCTTCTGCACAAACTCATAATTTGAATATCGTTAGGAGACTATAACCTTTATTATATAATAATAATGATACTAATTTCTTTCATCGTGTTTACATAGTATACAACAAATTCGCTCATGATGTTTGCATGCTTAGATCTTTAAAACTACGCAACCGATTTTAATGCGGTTTCCGCAATTGATAGTCATTCAAGCGGAAGTTTCAAATGTAGTATGACATCCATATTTCAATAGAGAAAAGCCATAATTTAAATATTCGTAATCTGATGTCGTAACAATTTTTTAACATTGCAAACACTGGCTAAACCATACGAAACAGATAAAATCAATGTACTACATATATCTTAAAAGTGCGAAACCGGGGCTGGTCGCTAGTAAATTATAAAGATTGTAGACAAACACCGATATAGAACTACAACTATTTGTCATGTCATGACATTCAAAGATAAGGAACATCAGATTAATTTGTCTAATTGCTCTCGATTTATATTACGTTACTTCAACTATTATACAGAAAGGCTGTAGTAACTCATAATACATAATACTTCATCTGTGAAAATTTCAACTGTCTAACTATCACGGTTCATAAGATAGAGCCTAGTGACTGACAGACAGCGGAGTTTGGGTATTGAAACCTAAAAATCAATCTAATATATAAAATTCTCGTGTCCCGGGGTTCGAACTTGAACTCCTCCGAAACGGCTCGACCGATTTTTACCAAATTTTTTATGCGTATTCAGTAGGTCTGAGAATCGGCTACTATCTATTTTTCGTCCCCCTAAATGTTAAGAGGGTAATCCACCCCTAATTTTTTTTTTTTTTTTTTATATAAAACTTTTTGTTTCTATTTTTTTATGACACAGCATACAAAAATACATACAACCCTAAATTTTCACCCCTCTACGCAGACGTAGTCGCTGGCAGCAGCTAGTATATTTATATTTAAAAAGTAAGATCCAGAGTAGCAATCATAATACAAGATGGCGTCATAAATTGCAGCAATACAAACAAACGGAGACAAACGTTATTTCCTTTATGGTATAACCATAGATAAGAGTGTCACGAAATATATTCGATATTTATTATATGATCGAATCGTACCTTGAACATTGCAAGGCTGCCAAATAAATCAATACAATTAGTTTGATGACACGCCATTACGCCGATGCGGTGTCATGGCGAGTAGTTTGCTAAATTAGCTTTTATCGTAAACGTTACGACAATGAAGAACATTCACTCGCAACAATGAAATCGTGAGTTCGTGTTTATACTTAACGGTTTTTCGTCGAATGACTTTTGCCGGGAAATAATTTACAAACGACCGTTGTGCGACGATATTAAAATAATTGTCAATATCTCTCGATTAAAATTAGGGTTGTAGGGCCACGCAGCAGCCTCGGCTGTTGCACGAATGGGCATGTTCGTCGGGGTAAGTACCACGACCTCACAGAAGACCGGCGTAAAGTGGAAGTATAATACTTTCGCGTTTCGTCTGGTGAGTGAGGTGGCCGGAGCCCAATTTACAAAAGGTTGTCAACGCATCAAGTGTAGCAGATGTCCATGGACGGCGGTATTCACTTAACATCAGGTGAACCGTCTGCTCGCTTGGCAACTTTTCACATAAAAAAAAGATTAAAATTAGGAGTATATTTGATATGATTATTGGTAACTTTAAACGGACTAGACTAGGCTGCAAAGTCTCTACCGCCCAACCTTAGGATCGTGATAAAAGAAAAAAGAGGAACCTTCCCAAATATAACGAACAGAACGATAAAAGATAATTCATGAACTAAATTCTATTTTTTCATTTTATG